GTTTCCACCAGGCAAAAAACAGTGGAGGGATGAAAAGAAGGAAAAAAAGTGTGGCTTTTTGAATTGAGAGCTATCTTATACTCTGCGCATAGCATGGGTCATAATAGGACCTGGGCCTCTGTGCTGGTAATGCATATTACTGAAATACACAGAAAATAACAACACATTACAACCTCCTTTCTAGGAGGCAAATCCAAATTATGAGTCTGGCTTCATTGCATACAAAGCCTTATTCAACTATTCCTGTAGTAGTAGCTGCTGCTCAGCAACTCTTAGCATCTAATTTAATATATAAATAGGTCTTGTAGTAAGGAAACCAAGGTCAGGAAGCACAACTTGTAAAGATGCATCATCTGAACTGCTCAATCCAAACTGTTCAATTGCTATTGAGCATGAGTGAGGAGAGAGGAAAAATGGAAGACAGGGGAGAGAAAATTACTTGCAAGCAGTAATTTGAATGGGTCCATAAGCAAAATTGGTTGGGGATTGAAAGATGATTTGGAAATAGCTCTCTCTACTGGGAAGATGGCTTTGAACATTCAAAAGAGAGTTTGTATTTATCTGAAAAGGAGCCAATGCAAAGAGCACATGAAGATTTTTTTTTCTAATTTTGTAAAAGAAACAGCTTAGCACATATTTTTTGTTCATATGTGGCTAATTTAGTACAGAGTAGATATAACAATACAGCAAGAATCAGTTGTATTATATAGGCTGCTGAAATTTTCATTTGAAACCTCAATTCTGTTATGCTTTTTGTGTTGTTAACTTTCAGCATGAGTAGGTCTGATGAAATGTGTAAATTTAATCACATGTGTTTTCAAGATTAGGGCCTAAAATAGGTTTGTTGCCAACCATGTCATGTTTTCAGTGGTACCTAAGGAAAGCTGTACTTTTGGTTAAAAAGCAAAGGTATATCACAAATATGCTGTTTATATCTAAAAATATCTTCGAGAAAACAGAATATGTCATGCTGACAGTTTCACATTTTTTCTCTGCCTTTAGGTTTTATCTCAGCTATGCACAAGCCCCTTCATACTCTTTTGCCTGGAAAAAGTGGGAGACTGCCAGAGTTCAGCATGTATAGGTATACTCAAGTTTTCCTGAAGTAGCTAGTTCAGATACTGCTAGCGATATAACTGTGGTAGCACAGAACTCAGTAAGGGTTAATAACCAAGTACTTACCCACTTTCTCAAGCAGACTTTGCAGCCCATGTACTTTGTGCCTCTGATGCTAGCCATACCCTAGCAAGCTAGCTTTGAGTCAGCTCAGAAAGGCCTTGCTGTCACTTCAGGAAATATAGTATAGACATACCCCTGGTCTGATTTTCATTCTCACTTTAAGTCAGTGGTATACCTAGGGTGGGGGGCTTGGGGCAGCCATCCTGGGAGCTGACTTGAGGGGAGTAGAGTGGGAAAAAAGACTGCTGCAGTACCTGTGTAGTTGCACCAGCAGTGGTAACCAGATGTTTTCACTGCCCTGCATGTGCTAGCTGCCCTGGGCACCTGACCACATTGCTACACCACTGCTCTAAATGTCTACACTGGTGCTCCCACTCAGCTCTACCAAACCTGGAAATGAGATGAAGCCATTTGAAGGCATGTCCTCTGCTGGAACTTCCAAGCATACCAGAGACAGGTTTTGAGTCCAGTGGCAGGGGGCACCTCTGACGCAGTTTTATCACCTCATTTCTGGGTTTGGTACAGATGGGAGTGGGTAGATAGAGTATGCTTGGCAGCACCTTCTCATAAGCACCGGGGATTTATTGCTGATGTAGTCTTAGTAAAGATATGCTGGACCTTTTTGATTAAAAAAAAATACAAACAAACTAAACAAACCCCAATTCAAGATCATGCACTATCTTATATTACATATGAATATTATTTAATTATGTCATATCTCTGATGCATAACTAAGTTAACATATGAGAAGTGAAGGAGGGCTGCTTTTTTGGTGCCTCACTTCTGATCATTTTTGTGCCACATCCAATGGCAACACATCCTATTTAGACTTGCCCCTTGACTTGCCCCAGTTTCACTTCCATTCACTATTTCTCTTCTCATCTCTAGTCATCTGATGGAAGGTTAATGTATTCTGCATAACTACAAATTAGGGGTCCAGTAAGGTATCACATTTATTGTATGATAAACTGTAACATGCCACATATTCAGTCAATGTGTCATATGATAAAAATGGCAAAGAAGCCATAAAGATGTTCCACATTATTTAATGTGGAGCATCTTTATGACTGTTTTGCATCATGCTTTAGTTTAGTTTAGTTTAGTTTAGTTTAGTTTAATGTTACCATAAAGCCACACTGTGCAGCCCAATGTCAGGGTCTATGGCATAGCTTTAAACTTCCTGGCTTCAAATTTGTCTCTCATGTCAGGCTGCACAGTAGAGTTTTAAAGGTCCCCGAGCATGAGGAACTGATAGGATCCGCATGTTCCAGCAAGTTTAAAGTTGTGCTGTGCAGCCTGGCATTGGCTCTAAAGATCCAGGTGCATGATAGGATCTGAGGAACTTTTATCTCAGATCCCAAAAATAACATGGCTTGCAATGACACCTCTCACCTCTATCCTTGGAAAGGTCTTTGAAAAGATTATTAAGAATCATATTTGTGCATGTCCAGCAGGAAAAATAATACAGCAGGGCAACCAGCATGGATTCGTAGCAGGTAGATCATGCCTGACTAATCTGGTTTCCTTTTATGACCAGGCCACAAAACGCTTAGATGTAGGAGTAGAGGTGGATGTCATATACTTGGATTTTAGGAAGGCCTTTGAAACAGTATCTCATCCCATTCTCATAAATAAATTAAGAGGCTGTGACTTAGATGATTACACAGTCCGGTGGGTGGAAAATTGGCTTGGGGGGTTGCACCCAGAGAGTGGTAGTGGTTGGGTCAGTATTTTTACCTAGGGCGTAAAAATATTCAGCACACCTACTGGCTGGGAAATGACCCTCTCAGCAGCACAGAAGTGGAAAGGATCTCGGAGCCATAGGGGACTCCAAGATGAATATGAGTCATCAGTGTAATGAAATCATCAGCAAAGTTAATCGCACTTTATCATGCATCAGTAGATGCATGACAAATAGAACCAATGAGGTGATACTTCCCCTCTATGTGGCATTGGTCAGACCTCAGGAGGAGTACATCATCCAGTTTTGGGCGCCGTACTTTAAGAAGGATTGCGATAGACTTGAGAGGGTCCAGAGGAGGGCTACTCATATGGTTAAGGGTTTGCAGGTCAAGCCCTATGAAGAGAGACTAAGGGACGTGGGCCTCTTCAGCCTCTGCAAGAGAAGGCTAAGAGGTAATCTTGTGGCTGCCTACAAATTCATAAGTGGGGGTGCAGCAAGGAATCTGAGATACTCTGTTCACCAGGGCATCTCTTGGGGCAACAAGGAACAATGGTCACAAACTGACAGAGAACAGATTTAGGTTAGACATCAGGAAGAACTTCTTCACGGTAAGGATGCCCAAAGTTTGGAATGGGCTTCCAAAGGAGGTGGTGCTCTCCCCTATCTTGGGGGGTCTTTAAAAGAAGGCTGGATAGGCAGCCGGCTGGGGTCATCTGACCCCAGCACTCTTCTTTCCTGCCTAGGCAGGGGGTTGGACTTGATGATCTGTTGAGGTCCCTTTCAACCCTAGCATCTATGAATCTATGAGAGACCTTGGACATCTGGCCTAGCAGGACACGCTATTTTTGGAATCCAGGATAAAATTCCTCATATCCAATTGCAGGTTTAAATTAATATCTGTCAGGGGTCTCTAAGATGGCAGAATATAAATTCCTTTAAATTGCACAGGAAACTCAATTAAGATGGTAAGTTTTGTTACGGAGATGAATATTGCTTCATTCTTCTACTTAAATCAGAGGGAAAGCTCTGTTTCCTCTCACTGGCTTGGATAAGCAGTGCTATACCACAGGTCTCAATCTTATTTCAGTCTATATTAGCTACTGTACTACTCCAGTTGGATAACAAATGTAGTGCCTGATACTGCAATGTTTTCATTGTGGACATAGTTTTTACATTAATCACTGTATTATCTCATATTACATCTTCAGACAATTTAGGGGCTTAGTGGTCCATTTTAAAGCACATATGACTGGACTGTGATAGCCTACTTACCAAATACATTGTTCTAATCTTGAAATTGTAGAGAATTTCATTTTTAGTTAGGGCTGACTGTGTAGCTGCAGAAAACTCCCACTTCTTTGGATGGAACAACTTAAGTTGAAGTGCTAAATACTTGAGAATGATCCTATATTACAGTTCAGAATGCTACTAAAATCCTCAGTGGGGCTGTAATTGAAGACAAAACTTGGCCCCATGTATATTTAAAGAAAATCAGGATGAATCTTGGGTTCTTATACTTTAACTCTAGGGCCAGATCCAGACATGCAGGCACATGTTATTTGTGGCACTGCAAACCTCTTTGTGGCACCACAAATTGCATGCCCAGAATATTAAAACATACCTCACACTGAAAATTTGCAGTGTGGGGGCAAAATATGCTACTGGGAAATCCTGGTAACAAAAAAAAATGCAGTGAAAAAAGTGGCTCAGTGCACACAACAGGAATATGCACTGGCAGACAGAGAGGCTCAGTCCTCCAGGGAGACACTCTGCCTGTTGGCTAGAGTGTTTCCCCATCTCTAGTTCTGCCTTGGCTCCTCCAGCACACTGGGAGCTGGGAGAAGTGGGAAAACAGCAGTTTCCCCAACGCCAGGCATTCTGCCCTGCACCAAAACCTACATGCAGGGGCATGCACAGCAGCAGAAAGTAGCAAAACAAATTTGTGCCGTGACTTTTTTTGCCACTGTAAGCACACACCCCTGCATGTAGGGATGTATCCTAGGTAGCACATTCAGGTTAAATTGCCATTTGATGAAACGATCTTTGGTTTTGATCCTGTTGAAGCCAGTGTCAAAGCTTTCAGTGAGTTGAGGTAAACAGGGTGATTTTGTTTTTAACAGTTATAGGTGCTTCTTACCTTTATTAGCCAGCACAGTATCCACAGATTCAGACCATGCCATTGTTTCCCTAGTGGTTGACCTGTGAAAACAACATCTACCCTTGAAAATAGCATTGTGATCTTTTGCCTATGTATTCTATGGCAGTTTTTATAGTACTTGAAACACTAGTTTAAGGCTACATCATTAATGAAGTAAGATGAGTTAGGTAGAGCATTGCACTTTATATCAAACAGAAAAAGGTCAACAAAACATATGACTCTCTTTAGTGTGCAGATAACCATACAGCACCATAAAACTGAATGTAATTTGACATTGGCAACTTGATTGTTAATCTAGATGACAGTAGCAATAATGTTTGCAATTGGTTGAAGTATAATAAAGGAATAGGAGTGATGTTACTTACTGTTGAGTAGTAGAATACTGAATTTCTTCTTAACTTTGAATAGATTAACCATTAATTTATATGACATTTTTTTGCTTAGAATGACTAGAACTATCTAAAAAGCTATCATGCTAGCAGCAGTGTGATAAATGGGCTATTTCTAGATTTCTTAGTGTTATGAGGAATTGGACCAGTTCATACTTTTGGTTCTCAACTGGGTTTTGATTAAGTATTTATTAAAACTGTAATAGTCTTTCTCTTTTTTTGTTTCCCTTCAGTGTTGAAGGTTTCTCCTCCCCATCCTTTAGAAAGCACAAGAATGAATCCAATTAGCTCAATCAATTCTCCCTTCTGGGCTGATTTATCTAAATCTAGGCACCTGTCAGGCAAGAATAAGCACTTTTCCAAACTAGTTTATAATTTTCAGCACACATTCCTTCAAAGGAAACATACGTTTTGAACTGATATACGTGCAGTCTGATCTAAAACATAGACTTTTTCATTATCTAAGGTATTATCAATTTTCTTTTCAACAAACAACGCACATTATTACATGTGTCTTCCACTCTAGAGGATATCTAGTGAAAAGCATGCAAGTGATTTTTTTTTTGTTTTGTTTTATTAGGCTGGCTATATTTTCTAAAAAATGGGCAGTTTGCTGAAGAGTTGACTGGGCAGTCATATTTATAGTACACTGTATCTAGTTTAGGTTCTCTTTAAGCCACCTATCACTGATAATTTAGCATTTCATCATGAAGTACTTTACATATGCATAGGGAAATGACTATGCAACTCAACTGCATATATTTCTAAGTCCATGTCTACACTAGGAAAAAGGTGTATTGTTTACTAATATGTGAAATGCTTAATGTAAACAGGGCAAGTTGTTGACTGAGCATGAAATCTGGGTTTAGGATATATCTTGACCAGCTAATTCATGTTAAAGCTATAATTTGTATTGTCCACAGTAAATTTCAACATGATAAAACTTCACCTTTTATTTTCCTAGGGAAGACAAAGCCTGAGCCATATGCACAGTAGGGTCTTCTACCTTAAATGAATCTGAATGCCAATAACAAATGTTTATGGTAAGCCTAAGGAATTAACTGAGATAAACCATTACTTGTATTCTAGAACAAATACCTGGGAGCATTTATACTATCCTTCACAAATATATTAACTAGATTGAATTAACTGGCAATCAACAGAATCAAGGTAAAAAATAGTGTGAAGGCAAGCACTAAGATAAAGAGATACCACCTGTACACACAATCTTACTAGGGCCAGGCAGAGGAATTGGTCACTGAACTAGGATACTCTTATTGAAACCTCCATTGAATCACTAAATGTTCATCTTTAATGATTGTGAAAAAGGGTCTGGTTCTTTGTCCCAAATAAATAGTTCATAGCAGCTGAAAATGAATGGCAAGGATTAAATTTATTAAGGAACATGCCAATCTCTCCATTTGAAAGGTAAGTATAAAAACTGACTAAGTCCTGTAGTTTCATGTTGTATGTATAATATATAAGCAAAGTTCTTAAGTCTTTGTAAAGTAGCTGTTAAAGTTAAAGTGTCTTGTATCATCCATGATTCCTGTTGAGCAGTGAGTCAAAATCCCCTTACTTGTGTGGAAAGCAAAGGCAGCTGCTTTGGATCAAAGAGGGACTTATTTGGACATGCAAGTTAATCCTGACATAGGATTTAATATGCAAGCTGATGAAGGGTGGTACACAGAAGAGGGTCTGACTGATAAGTAGGGACTTTCTCTTTAAGGCTAGGGACAGAAATTGCACATAAACCACTGTAAGTGATTGGAAACTGGTTCAAATCTGTATCACAACAGGCACGTCCAGATGTGTGCAGTCATGTGGTATGTGGTGCCGCAAACATGTTTGCAACACCACAGACTGCACAGTCTGGTGTTCTCTTCATAGCAAGGGTGCACTCCCTGAGTGTGCACTACTCCATTTTTTTTTCTGCAGGGTTTTTTGACCACTGGATATCCAGGGTTAAAAAAAAAAAACACAAAAAAAACCCAGAGTAGTGCACACTCAGGCAGCATGCACTGCAAAAAGTGGAACCAGGTTGCCCGGAGCAGTGCTGCCAGCCAGGCTAGTCCCAGAAGGATCACCATTGTTGCAGGCCTAGCAGGCCCCTAGGTAAGGCTTCTGGGACCAGCATAGTACTGGCCCCAGCCTCCTCTACCACCCCCGGGGTAACTTGTCACATGCCAAAGCACACGTGGTATAGGTTTTCCCTGAGGACAAGTAGCTGTGGTGCAAGTTGTATCACTGATACTTGTCTCTGGGGAACCAAATGTCCGTGCACATCTGGACACACCCAACAAGGCTATAGACAGTCAAAGAGCTTGAGGCTGAATCGATTCAGTCTTTGCAGGTTAGTCTAAGCTGCACAGAGTAAATTGAAACAGAAGTGAATAGACATTTACCCTTGATTCAGGAAATGTAGCCACGTGCCTGCAGTGGCTCCGGCCAGAAACCAGGTGGCACTAAAGCATGGCTCTCTGGCTATATGTTCACTTCCTCTTCTGCTGCCCCAAAGGTCTCTGGGATTTGCAGTCCAGAATTACAGCAGCAGGATGCTGCAGGGTTGCTCATCACTTCCTCTTCCCGTTTCCAGGTACCTCTGGGATTTGTAGTCCACAGTTGCAGCCAGCAGTAAGTTTGAGCAGGGGAAGGAGTGTTTAACTGCCCTCCATAGCTTCAGACCCCAGCTGGGGTTTGCCTGGAGGGGACTCTCTCCTTCCCCGCAGGCTGGGGTGCACCCCCAGCTGGACTTGCCCCTCCCTGCCCCTTGTCAGTCAGCCCTCACTGCTCTAGCTAGGGAGCAGAGGGAAAGGGACAGCCCTGCTCTCAGGAGCAGACTGCACAGGCCAGCCCAGGGCTGGAAAGCATGATGGGATTCTGGGGGACTTTGATTTAATTTAAACCAGAAAGGGGTCTGGGACAGAAGTTTCATAAACTGGTTTGACTCAAATCAGTTAAGTCTGATACTACATCCATCTAGGTTTATCTTAAACCAGTTTCAGCCATTTTGAAACTGTTTATGTGGACTGAGCTTCTGTTCTGTTACAGGGTTAAACCAGTTTCTGATGACTTAAATTGGTTTGTGTGTGACTTCTGTCCCTAGCCTCAAAGTTCAGTGGACATAAATTGCTTTCACAATGGCCAAAACTGGTTTAAGATAAACCTAGATGGATGTAGTATCAGACTTAACTGATTTAGGTTAAATCAGTTTATTGAACTTCTGTCCCAGATCCCCTCCAGATTCAAGTTAACTCACATTTCCCCCACCATCCCAGGATGCTTTGCACTTCCTCCTCAAATCCCACCTCACAGGCTGAACAGGTTAGCTTTAGTCCAAGTTATCTGCTCCAGCTGAGCAGGAAAACATACTGTAGTGCCCTCTGGCTTCTGGCCTGGGCCACTGCAAAAATTCTGGCTGCATTTCTGGAATCAGAAGTGAATGTCTGTTCACTTGTTTATCGCTTCAATCTATAAAGTTTAGACTAGCCTGCAAAGATTGCATTAATTCAGTCTCAGGCTTTTGACTGTACTTAGCCTAAATTTGAAAAGTATTTCTTCCTCTGTAGCTTGGCTGTGATAGTCATATTTAGTATAATTTCTGAAAATGGTAAAACTCCAGATATGTTAACATTGTTTCTTTTAGTTTCACTTTCTCTGATTTTACTTTTTATTATCATTATGGATAATTAAACCAAAGCATCCACTGAAGAAAAGAGGAGATTGAAAGTAAACCCTGTTGTATAAGGAAGCTGGAAATTTTCTAGTGCAATGCTTTCTATTAGAAAATATCAGTTCATCAAAAGTGAAACATTATGGGGAAACATGCTATATTTGACAAATCATTTCAAAATTTGCCTACCTATTTTACATTCTGCCTATACTACCAGTTCCTTGGCAGCCTCCCAGGATCTGTGTTTGTCCAGTTTCACCTCTGCTGTTCAGTGATAGGCATCTATAACTATGAACATTGACTGGTTTAAATGCAGTTTGTTGGCACTTTTTACCAGTAAGCTTCCTTGCACTGCTTGTTCAGTTCAAGCTGTCTTCCTAACAACCACCTGTGTTCTCACTCCCAGCTCAACCCTGGCCCCTCATCATCAAAGCTGGCAAGTCAGTCAGCAACACGGAAGTCCTTGACTTCAGGAAAGCCGACTTTGACAAGCTCAGGAGGCTTGTCAGTGAGGCCCTAAGGGACCATGACCATGGGGAGAGGGGAGTTCAAGAAGTGTGGTTGCTCCTCAAGGGAGCGATCCTCAATGCACAAGCTAAGTCTATTCCATCTCGGAGGAAAGGCAGCAAGAGGGCACAGCAGCTCCCCTGGCTCTCCAGGGACCTAGCAGACCTCCTGAGGCTAAAAAGAAAGGTCTACAAAGGATGGAGGATGGGAGTCACCTCCAAGGAGGATTATTATGCACTGGTCCGGTCCTGTAGGGAGCATACCAGGAAAGCCAAGGCTGCAACTGAACTCCAACTAGCTTTGAGCATCAAGGACAATAAAAAGTCCTTTTTCAGATATGTGGGGAGCCGGAGGAAAAGCAGGGGCAACATTGGACCCGTGCTGAACCAGATGGGGCAACTGACAACTGACGCCCAGGAAAAAGCCAACCTATTAAATAGGTACTTTGCGTCAGTCTTTCATCAGTCCCATGGGACGCCCATGCCCGCTACGGGACAGGGAAGTCCGGGTGAGGGTGATACCCTGCCCTCCATTAATGCTGACTTCGTGAAGGAACATCTTGAGAAGCTGGATACCTTCAAGTCAGCCGGCCCT